TCTTGACGCGAGGAGAAACCATTGGTACTTTTTATTCAGGGGGAAATATTGAAGGAACGTATTGCAAGCGTTTGTACCAGTCAAGAACTGCAGCTAGTTTTTGCCTTGTATTATCGCAGTTCAAGAAAAAGGGCTGCTTTGGACAAGGCGTAATCTGGTGTCTTATGCATGAAAATTTTGGAAACTATGGGGTTTAGTCAACGTCATAAGAAATATACGCCTAGAGCAGTTATTTGGCTTGAACTTGTGATTGTAGGCTGCCAAAAAATTTACCTTCTCATTAAAAAGTTTATTGCTATGGTGTTTCAATTTCGACCATTGTCCAGCGTATGCTGGACCTATATGTGACGAAGCCTATTTTCTTCATGCTCGATGATCTCCTGAGTCTGAAAATTATATGTCGACTCTTGCTAGTTTGGGGCAAACATTCGTGTCTTCTGCTTACAAACGACAGGAATCTGACAAATCTGACTTTCGACGAGGCTGATATGGTTTTTGCCATCGTAATTCATGGAAATGATCACTAATGTGAAGTTCTATCGACATCAAAGAGGCTGATCTCCTCCCCAGCAGGCCAACCGGTGGCTAGGCTTGCTTGGGACTTGGCTTGTCTAGGCGCCCTGGGTTGGGCCACGTTCAGCAAAGCCGTTTATTCAAGCAACACTAACCAAGACAAGTTTGTGGTGGATGGACGAGTCCGGTAACAACACTCTTCTTAGACGGGCCTGCCATCGCAAAGAAACACGGGACTCGCCACAAACAAACCACTTTCTGAATACAACTCACATTAATTATCTCAGTTAAGAAATACTCAAAGTTGTCTCAGAACAATAAGTAGACTCGGAACGAAACCAATTACCTAGAGCACGTATACCTTTGCTTCTTGGTCCGCCAACACTGTCCCGCCAGCCTCAGAGGTTAAAACTTAATTATCACAACCTGACACTCACCGGACCCAGCCCGAAGCTCCCCCTCTACATGTCCTACCTGCCTCAAGTTTTCTCGCTATCTTTTCCTTCCCTTATTCCTTGTTCCCATCTCTTCCCTCTCGTTTCATCCTTCTTCTCTCATAGGTTTCTTCTGTTGTCACAATCTAAACTCTAAATTGTGCAAATACTAACTCAGTCACCACATTTCTCACAGTGAAGTCTCACGACCTGCCTGCACTTACTTCAAGTCAGAACTAAATGCTTCCTCCAAAAACCATCAGTCGAACCTGCTTCAAACCTCACGGGATTTTAACAATGGGAACTAGCTTAAGGGCCAAACCACACGACCGGCAGCGGCAGCGAATCCTCGCTTGTTATTGGCACTCGAGGTTCCCCCTTTACCACACGGGAGTGAGCGGCAATTTGATATATCCTAGGTGGCAAAGAAATCGACTTCTCAAAACTACCAAGCACTTCCGACTGGAAATCCGGTTTTTCCGGAATATATATACTCCACGTGTACTTTCGCGCCTTCCTGGGTTACTCTTCCAAAGACTTCTCACCGCTGCGTTGCAATTAGTAGACATATTTTTCCCTTTTCACTCCAAAGGCACTACCGGTAGTGTGGTAAAGGTTATGGAATTCTCTCCAGCTGGCCAACTTAGGCCTACGAAAACCTGGTTTTCTTATAGCCAGGAGCTTGGTGCCGGCTGCCGGTAGTGTGGTAAGGCCCTAAGTTGGATAAATATCTATCTATCTATCGGTATGTAACCTTCAACTGATAAGGTGGTGGCTTTAAGCTGGAGGCGGCGGGAGGAGGAGGAGCAGGACAATTCGTGACAGTCCCGGGGCTAATCAAACACAATTAGCCCCGAGACTGTCACGACCTCCCAACAAACCCATAAGTTACTAATGTCAAAGCAGGCTTTGACCTCAAACATATTGTCAGTCCTTTCGAAGCTGACAGTCCGTCTGCCGGCGACTGACTGACTGTCACCTTCGATCCGGTAGGTTTAGCTGTCCTGTTGAGCGTTGCATGTTACCTCTACGTGTTGTGGTTGGGTAGGGCGAGCAGGGGTCGCCCATAGGATCTCGCAGGCTGTCAATCGCCACATGAATGACCCCACGGTTCCCCCTTTCCTTCCCTTTGCAGGTTCCCTCGGAAGATCACCACAGGCCTCACACCAAAGAGCCCATCAAGCAGAGGACTCGTTGAAATCTGCGCGCAGCAGCTTCATCTTCTGCTCGCAATCATGCTCTCTTTTGCAAAAACCATCGCCGAAACCTCTTTAACCAAAAGGGTACGTATCAATGGCATCTATCAATCTTTCGGCCGATCTATTCCAAGAGACACCGTGAATCAGACCAAGGGACACAACCGACTATTCCTTCTTTCATCCGACATAGCCGCCGTCGTCGCTCGTCCATGGTCCTGCGGTTCCGACCGCGCAGTCAAGAGCAACCGCTCGGGGCTCAGACGCATCCGCCATCAATCAGAATTCGAGTAGTAACGCGCGCAAGACCCCAGCAAGAGGGGAGTTGCACGGAAAGCGTTCGCGTTCCCAATCATGCTAATCTCGTACTTGCTCCATGCACGTACTCATCGTCGAACACGTGGCATCGAGGGCGACCCGATGGACTCAACGACGCTGGAACGGCGTTGCCACTTTCTAACCATGCCGCCGTCGTTTCACTGCTACGCAGTTGGCTCGGCGCAGTGCGGCGAACGAGGTGATGCCAGCCTCGTCCCCGTACGAGGAACTTTGCACGGCAACCCATCTCCTCTCGCTTCGCATGCACAGGCTGTCTTCGGCCTCCATTACTGCATTCCTGCCTCCCGGCTCTGCGAAATGCAATCTCACGATGCCATTCCTCGTTACGAGCAGATCCACAAATCAACTTGCTGCTCGCGTCATCCTCTCGCCCCATGCTTTACGTCTTTACGACATGTTGAGTAGCACGAGCCTAGCATTGTGTCTATATCTGAGCACCATGCGTCGCAACTAACATGTGGCGACGTAATGTGCTCCTCATCTTTAGCAGAAAATTCGTAGGGCTGGTTCTTATCCTAGGGAGCATTGCCTTGGCTTAACTAACTCGGTTCACAGAGTCCTCCCGACTAAACCAAGTAACTCAAGCACTCAAATATCACTTCAAACAAGTTGATGAATTATCAATTTTTTTTTCTTGATTATTTTCAACTAAATTATGGTATGCTCGAATGACCACACAGTGTTCTGCGGAGAGATCTTATTGCCCTTTAGATCATTCAAGTTTTAGGTCAATCCATAATTTTAGAACCATAAAATATGATGTTAGCTTGGATAAACGGTCTCAGTGTTGATATCTGATCCAAGTTTATGGCTATTTATTTTATTATCTCTTGTAACTTTGAAGAAAAAATCCGTACAGATATCTTCTCACAGATTGGTTTACAAAGATGAACCTATGACAACCTCGAAATGTTAATAGCATATATTAGAACTTTATTGATGTATAACACTTGCAATCTGGTGGTATTACATATTATCTGACGAGAGAAGCCCAAATCAGTCCTTCGATACAAAGTACTTTACACCAAATACATCCAAAGTGTACAGAGTTTATACCGAACATCTGGATATGGGTCCATTCCGGAAAATTATATTTCTTGAAGACAGATCATAAAACCTAAAACGTAAAAGCAAGTGGAAATAAAAACTAATAATGCATAAATCATAATTCACTCAATTCATTGAGTGGATCAAGTTGTGCAAAAAATGATTGCTGCGTTATTATCTGAGTGCCTGGACAAGAAAGCAAACTACGATCTTTCCTTTTCCCTTGCAAACTCCATTCTTGTGTTTTTGTGATCTTTGGCTCATTCTGTTCTTGCATGGACACTACTACCATTGTAAGGAGGAAAATTATTATGAATGATTCATACAAAATCATGCACCCTGAGAAAATCATATGGTTCGGGTCAAGTTGTATCCTAAAAAGAATGATTGAATTTTTGCTTGGAGAAATTCACTTCAACGCGACGTGTTTCTTCGAAGAATAATGCTACTTTTCTTTCTTCCTTTTCCTTTAGATATAAATTTGGCGTCATGTCGGTGGGCACAATCATGGCAACATGAGTCGATGCAAATTTTCCACGCAAGTCGTTCTGAGCAGCAAATTATAACTGCTCGCGCAGTTTACAGCAGAACCTCAAGATCGGGGGTCGGGCGTGGGACGAAGGCCCGTGACGGCAAAAGAGAGTGCATGGCATGTCAAGTACGTTCGACGTTGCAGTGGCCAAATCTCGGACCATCGGGAGGCCGAGGGGCCCAACCGGTATCAGCGTTGTAGCGTTGACCGGGGAGAAAAAGGGAGCCCTTGTCTCACACGAAGGGCAAGGTCTCACCGGACTGGAATCCCCGGCCTTCGCCCACAGGTCAGGCATGAGGCGCGGAGCTCGCCGGCGAATGGCGGAGCAAAACCGTGAACGCCGTTCTCTGCTCTTCTCGGAACATCTCCCCGGCCTCCGCCCGCCGCCGGTCAGTCCGCAGGCTCGAGTCGGCGGCGGCGTGAAGAGTTCGCCGGGGAACGGAGGAGCAAAACCGTTAAAGCTCGGATTCTCGGCCTTTTAGCCACGAGGGTGGACACTCCACGGCAGGCGGCGGCAGACCGAGGGTCCGAGGTGTGGAGGACCGACCGGAGGGTAGGTGCCATCGAGGAGGCCTCGTAAGCTGCGAGAGGCGAACGTGGTGATAATCAACGATCTTGGTAGGTGGGAATTTTGCATGGGACGAGGCGCGGCATTCATTCGGTTCTGCATCAGCATTCATTGGGTTTGCACTTCGGATGAATTCTGCTCTCTCACGGACTTCCTCCCTCCGGATCCGAGAGCTTCAGATATTTGACCGCGCGGCTAGATCTTCCTCGACGCCTCACAGCTAGTAAATTCTGCTGCAAGGCGAATTCTGCTTGCTAGCTCGTCCCAGAGTTCAGGGCTCATCTGCTCGGGCCCCAGGCGAGGGGTAGATATGAACCTCTTCAATAATCACAGTGCGTGTAATGGCGGACGGGGCTAAAGTGGCTAGATCCAAGCCGAAAGAAGGCAGAGACTCCAAGAAAGCTGGTTGGCTGCCTGCCAGGGCCAGAAACCACCGGCAAGGACTTTAGTGCTGATGGGCGAGTTAAGTCGAGCTTCGTGACTGGAATTGCTTAACCACCATTTTGTTAGTCGACGGGGAAAGGATAGCGATTTGCAGGACCCGTGGCCTTCTTCGGACCCGAGTCCTCGAGCCCTTTGACCTGTATATAAGTCTCCTTCATAGGCGGAGCTGAACACCCTCAACATTCGAATTCAGTTGTACCGTCGGGACCCGGAACTGTCCGAGCTTCGTGTCGAGAGGTTTCGAGTCTAGTGCGAAGGACGCCGGTTCGGGAAGTGGTCACTGCATCAGCAGCAGCAGCAGCAGCAGCATGACGAGAAGGAGGAGTGCTTGTGAGATGAGAATCGCCACCTTGTTCCTGCTCGTACTTTGCTCCGGGTACCTGAGCGCGATCCAGGCGCAGCTGAGTCCGACATTTTATGCGGCCACTTGTCCGAATTTGGAGCGGATTGCCAGGCAGTGGTTCAGTATCGGGGTGCTGAATGCTCTCACGGCCCCGGCTGCCATTTTGAGACTGTCGTTTCATGACTGCTCTGTCAATGTGAGTAGCGAGCCCGGACTCTGTGTCCTTGTCGATCGACGCGGTGTTCTGCAAGGAAAATCTCGCGCAGTCGGGACATTTAAATGGCATTTTCACACCTCCGTTCCCCGTTCCTAACCTCGGGACTGATGTGGGATGTACGTGATGCAGGGCTGTGACGCCTCGGTTCTTCTGAACGCGGGCCGGGGTAACACGGACGAGAAGGCCTCGAGTTTGAATCTGGGCATTAGCAATTTGCAGGTCATCGACGGAATTAAAACTGCTGTGGAAAGGCAGTGCCCTGGAGTGGTTTCCTGCGCGGACCTCCTCGTGCTGGCTGCTCGCGATGCTGTCTCCCTCGTAAGTTCTCCTCCTCTATGTCTCCCACCCACTGCTGCCCGGGCAGTAGTCTCGGAACCCAGATCCTGCACACAATGCTGTAGGATTCAATCAGCCGCGAAATAATTTGACCCCATTATCGTCAAGATTTGATTGCATCTCACTGACTGGCTCTGCTGCGAGGACATGACAGTCTGGAGGCCCGAGGATGACTGTTCAGCTGGGCCGCAGAGATGGAACGACTGCCAGCACTTCCGCCGCCGACTCTCAATTGCTTCCCCCCACCGCATCTGTCGACCGAGTACTGTCTACGTTCTCTCAGATGGGCCTGACTCCCATGGAAACTGTAGCACTCCTCGGTACGTAAAATGGTGTTGAGTTCTAGAGTTCAGCAGGCATATGAGAACTCCGGCATTTCGAGTTATTGATGGTAGACCATTTGTTGACAGAGTGATAGTTTCGGACGAGGATTTTGGCCTGACGTGTGCTGGGACGGTGCTGCAGGATCTCACACCATGGGAGTTGGACACTGCGACAGCATAAAGAATCGACTATACCCGCAGCTGGACACGACTCTGTCGCAGAATCCGTTCTTCGCCCAAAATCTCAAGCGTCAGTGCCCTGCCTCCTTCTCGAACCCGAACACAGTCGTGGCGAATGACATAACGAACATCGTCTTCGACAATCAGTACTTCCGAGACGTCCAGGGGAGGAGAGGTCTGTTCAGCATCGACGACGCCATCCGCACCGATGCCCGTACCTCCGGCTTCGTTCGCCAGTTCGCTGTCAACAGACAGCTCTTCTTCTCCACCTTCCAAACGGCTTACAACAAAATGGCTGCGCACAGAGTGTTGACGGGCACACAAGGGCAGATTCGCAAGAACTGTCGATCCATCAACTGATCAGGGCTGACTTTCCCGCTGTTCTCCATTCTCGTCCTCTCTCTCTGTCGCTCTTCACCTCATCGTTCTCTTTTCCAGCTCTGAGGGGAAGAGTGGTTCACATTCCTGCCTTTGTGAAATAGGTAGACATAGTGACATATAGTTTTGATAGCACTGCCGCTGTCATTTGTATAGTGCTTCACCTGCCTCTCTCCCTCCGACGTTCGTCTCTCACGAATTCAATCGAGCCTCATGGAAACATGGTTGTGCATGGTCGAGGGGAAGAAGAAGCTTCCATGCAACTAGACAAGATTTGCTGAGAGGTGGACAGAGTGTGTATCATTAGCACCAACATTGTCAAAACTCTGTCCGTTTGTAATGTAGTCCTCTGTCCTCACAGAATCTCACTTACTCTCGCCGAATTGTTCCAATGTTTCACTTCATTTCCATGATTCAACTTCCTCATTTCTGATGTATATAAACAAAACATGTGTACATGAGAATTTATGGCCATCCTTGTATACGTTGTTCATTTACTGGGAAGTGATTATGTTATTCGAAATGAATGAAGCTGTTGGTCTCTCATCTTCTCATGCAGCTATCTGTCGGAAGTGTAGTTCCGCATTTGGAAAATCAGTACCAAACAAATATAGCATTTTGAGTAACACTGAATGGGAAAAAAACAAAACTGATGCGTCTACCCTGCTGAAAAGAATCGAAAGAAAAAGTGCGAAAACGAGACATGAAATCTTTACTGAAACCAATTTCATCTGTAAACGTAAATAATGGATAAGGTCAACACCCAAATTTTAGCTTGGTGAATAAAAATGAACAGAAAAAGTTACCTTCGGACAATCACAGTTTTAGTGTATAAATAAATCACACATGACTTTGTAACATACGTGAAACAATATAATAATTAAAGCATGTTCTATCACAAAACTTAAAAATCGAAAAAATTATTGTGAAAGTGTGAAAAAAAATAGGATATATAATTTTCAATACATTTTCCTCTGAAGTGGAGTAAAAGAAAACCACTCGATAAGAGATTGGTAGTACCACAAACTTGGTCGCAGGGAAACCGAGCATGATATATCTCTGAAACGAACGAAAGAACGGTGATCATATGAAGGAAATGGAATAATTTATAGATAAGGAGGGGACAAAATCAACCGTACAGATGTGAAACCTGATGGAATATATGAGGGTTTAAAGTACAGGTGGGAGACGGAGCGTATTGCCAGCTTTACGGAAGAAGAGCATGCTCAAGCCGAGCACCCAATTCATTCATGCTTCGCAGCTCGTTGTTCGTTCAGGATAGGTAAGGGATCTTTGATGGCTCTCTGTCTCCCCTCTGCTCTTGCGTGCACCTGCCATGTGTGCTGGACATAACCGTCGGCGGAGTCATGCGCTTTGACTCGGCTTGAGATCGAATGGTTTCCTACGGCCCAAACAAATGTGCCACGAAAATACCCCGGACGCTTTGCGATTGCGAATGCTTCGCCATTAAGAGTGTGGTTCAGGTGGCAGGCAAAGCACATGATCCTTCCAAACCATATCCATACCCAACTCGCAGACTCAATGAACAGATCACGTAATCGTCTCGTTATAAATAGCGTTATTACACGGATGCGTCGGATGTACGAAAGATTTGTTGGTGAGACGCCATGCGTTGCAACCAGTCATTACAAATGTAGTCGCCACACATCTTTGATTTCTGTTTAGGTTTCCTCGTCGTCTTATAGTGGTTTAGAGATATGATAAAAAACCATGGTTGAATATGTTTGAATCTCAACCGTTAAATAAAAATGAACGTCCATGATGTTATTGATGTGAATGTTTTTAATTTTTTCTACCTTTGAACTTCCTTTGATTCAGATGCTGAACTGCTAAGAGTGAGTACTTGTGAAACGCTGGATTTTGAAAGCAAAGAGGACAAGTAACATAGAAGGGAACCAATAGGGAATATGCAGGAATCTTTTTTTCAATGCTCAAGATCTTCCTCTTCGTTGACAATGTGTATCACATTAAACCTCAATGCATAAACGAAGATGATTATATGAGATTATTGGTCTATTCTTTTGGTGCAAAACTATTTGCTTCAAAATTTATTCCAATACTGATAAACAATGTCGTTTATAGATGTTGGTCATATTTGGCCAACATCAATCCTACAAATTTTTTTTCATTCGTTGCTTCATTGTTCTCACATCATAAATGACGTTTGCCTTTTGACCTTCCACGACTTGATTTTGTTAGTCATAGAAGGTCAAAGGCAACTCACACATCTGACTATCTATCTTTTTAGACAGTTTGTCTGTCACGTGTTTCGTTGGGGCACCGAATAAATAAAACGAAAAGAATGAGAGCACGATTTCTTTTGCTTTACTTGACCCCGTATAGTGATACAAAGAGGAAGCCAAAAGGCCAGAATAGAGCTAGCCCCTCAAAACAAAAAGAAGAAAAAATATAAAATGAAAAGGGAGGCTAGGCCCCAAAGAGGTTCTTCATCAGCATGACGTCAAGAGTCACAGGCCCAAACTGACTTGATGTTGGACCTTGTGGAACACGTGTAGTATAGACATTCCCAATAATAAGCATGCACACTGGCCGTGCGCGGTGCAATAACAGGATGGATAGAAAGCAAAAACTAGTGCTAAAAAACAATGGAAAAATATTCACTATAACCAAGGGATGGCCAAAATGCCGTAATACATTTGTCATGAACAATTGACTGTCTGCATATGATTGGCTTGGCTCTACGTTCATGTAGAATCATCATATATAGGAGACATTGTTCTCAGTGAGGTCTTGTGGAAACATTGGAGAAAGGGCAACATGGAACTAAATATCTATATCTTAAACATCTTGTTTGTGATTTTTAGAATTCTTAATCTGCTCCTTGATTTTGAATATGTAACATGAACAACTTTACCTTTATGCTGTTCGATCTTAGTTGTTTAATTCGTTTTCAACGCGTTTGTGTTGTCTTTAAGTATGAGTATCCAACATAAGTTCAAGGTTTCCACTTTTTCTTTTATTCGAATACGTTTGATGTTAAATTTCATGTGAAGTTGAATTCTTAATTTTTTTTCATTCAATACTTTTTTCTTTGAAATTTCAGAGCTCTGATTTGAATGAAATACATGTAGTTTCACTCCCAGTGGAGAACAGAGAGCTATTTGAGCTGTCTAGTTGCTTGTTTTGCTAAAAAAGAACGCAGAACGGTTCATGCAATTACTTAGTTTTTATCATGCTAATAAGGAAAAGTACATGAACCAGAATCGTTGAGCCAAAAGGTCGAATCAGCATCTTGTTTCAAGGAAGTATGTTGTTTGTTGAAGCGTAAATCATTCTTAATCATACCTCATATAGTCTTGGTTTTGGAACCCAAAAAAGTGCAAAAAACGTAGGGTTATAATTTCAACATCAAGGTATGTACAATTATATTCCATCGTTCAGGGCGATATCTCATATGAAAAGTTCCACAAGTTGAAGTGACAAGGAGTTGCATGCGCAATGTGGCTTCCCAGGAAGTCCCTCATCGAAAGATATAGGCACTGACCACAAACGACATCCTCATAGAGCAGTGGATCTCAACGGCCCTTGAGATCTGAGGGGCTTCGCTTCACTGCATCTGGTTCTGGTTCTGAATCACGCAGTTTTGAGCACTCAAGTTTTGTCCGAGGAGGCAGACAGTGAGCGCAGTAGATTAATTCAGCTGAACGGAGCGGAGGGTGGAGGGTGGAGGGTGGAGGCCATGAACCACGGCATTCACTCATTGACTGCCCTAGAGCTGACTCTCAGAGCTGCTTAAACCCAACCCCTCGGCTCCTCGTCTCCGATTTTGCTCGTTGCAGGTCCGGCACCAGCCAGATTCTAGAACACAGACATGGATTAGAGGCTGTGGCTTCTCTTTGTCTCCACTGTGCTCATCTGATCTGACATGTGCTATTCGACTGTCAAGAGCTAGGGCAGAATACGGTTCTGATGCTTGAACGGTGAATTCTTGAACGAAGAATTGCGTACCATGAGTTTGTGAAATTTGCTGGCGCTTACGTCTGCCTCTGCTGTGCTTGTGGCGATGGTGGGTGGGCGAATGCGTGAGAAAGCAAGCTCGGCGGCCGGAGCGCCTGTAGGTTCCGGATGAGCTGCCGCTCGCTCGTTTGAGGAAATCTAAGAAGCGGAAGGGTTTTGGATTATTTTCCTCTTGTTTGGGATTGTAGTGTTAAAATTTGGATACATGCCTCTCGAGGCTGTAGCAGGGCGGATGTTCTCCCAAGGCTTTACACCTTTTCACAACGCAGCTCCTCGACCCCGGGGTGCCAGTGGTGCCAAGAGGTTTCCGACATTCTACATGCAGAAAGAAATAGCTGTGCACTCCGAGTCAGCTCCTGTGGTGTTGCAAGTCCAGAGGAACGGGGAGAATGTGGATGTGGCAGCTTGTGCAGGCGGTTTCGGTGCTGAGCAATCCAATGGGAATCAGTCTCACGGTGACGTTGAGCAAGAGGACAGGATTCTTAGAGACTGGCAGCTTTTTTGCAAACAACAGGCTGTGCCGGCGATTGTGAGGATGAATATGGAGAAGATCAAGGATCTGGAGGTGGAGTTTGGCGAAGAGCTCAAATTTGGTGGCCCGCGTGGTTCTCTCAAGGTGTCCGATTTTGATTCTAATCTTAATTCCCTCGCTTGCTGCGTTCGTTGTTCTTTTGGACTGACAGCCTTGGAAGAAGTACATTTAGCACATCACGTGTTCTTCTAGGTCGCTACAACTACTGCGACTGCCCAGTTTTTTTCCGCACAACAAATTCTGCACCCATCTCTCCCTCTCATGTGAAACCCCAGCTGGAATGGGTTTGGTGGCCTGAATATTGGTTTCCTCGGGTTTGAATCCGCTGGGTTCTGTTGTTGTTTCCTAGTACTCACGTATTCAAATTTTTCCTCACCAGGGTCGACCTGGAGCCGAAGAAGATCACAGGCACAGAGAATTTTACGAAACTCTGACCGATTCCGAGTCAAAATTGCAGAATTTTGCTGCCCGACAAGTGGCCTGCCGAGTTATTGGAAGCAAGGGTTACCTTTGTGATACGGTAATGCATGAAACTTTTCCGGTCTCGACATATTGAACTATCAGAGTTATATGGGTTCGAGGATATAAGACTTCTAATATGCATCAAAATCTTACTTTTACTTACTTCTTAGCGTGGTCTAAAAAGCTTAACACATCTATACTTTTATCTATTATCAAACTGTTCTTTTCAGTTCATACTTTCCACTCAGGTGTCAAAATTTTGAACACTCTTTTGTAATTTTGAATCCTCTTTTGATGCGGTCGTTTGGGTGGAGATTACACCATTATGGCAGTTTCTGTGAACATAATTTTGGAGAGGCTTAATAGTTCTTATGAGCAATTTGTCTGACATCTCACGTTCATTTCCAGTGCTGGCTCCCAGAACGAGATTGTATGTGCGACACATTCGACAAGGGACGATTGTGGCCTGGAATATGCCTTTGGCTGTACATGCACCCGAAGGTAATCCTCACTCAGATGCCCAAACGACTTTGACAAATACTGATGTATGCCGAAGCCTGCAATAGACTCAGTGCAAAATGCCTATTGTTTATAGTAGACATGTTTTCTTATCGTAAGGTCGTCATTACTTTACAGGACTTTTTGAGGAAAAATAATACTGGGAAGTTACTGTGGCAAGTCTTTGGAGACAAAGCAGCGCGGCTGACAGTTTTCGGCATTTCTGACCATGAAGAGGTCATGTGGAATGCCTTCAAAGAGGCAGGTCTGCCTCGAAGCATTTGAAGTATGAGCCTTTCATCGTAGGACTTGAGAAATTTTAAAGAAATTTTGACGATACGAGAGTTGATTGGAATCTGATGTTGCAGGAAGGGACAAAGTTTGGTGTATATATCCTCATCCCCCAGAGTGTCAGGTTCCAGATGTGCTAATACCCGAAGATTTGGTTGACAGGCAAGAAGACAGTAAGGTATGTGGTATTTCTGATTACCATCCATATCTAGACATGCGGTATCTACAGCGCGTAACTCAGCGCTCTTATCAACAACCGTAAAGAAACTGTTGAGGCAATGCAGCTTTCATTGAGAAGGTACCAGAAGTTCTAGTGTCTGGTTCGACTTCAAGACTGTTATAATATGAATTTCTTGGTTCTTAGCTTCTTTGTGGATAACTGTGCGTAGGGAACGTTCTGACTGGCGTGTGTATCCACAGGATGGAGATGCACATCGCATACATTTAGTGCTCATTGACGGAACTTGGAGTAATTCGAAAGCCATGATCAGCCGACTCAAGGTACATCAGCGTCCCTTAGTCCAGTAGACCAAGCTTTACTGGTGTATCTTTTGTGGTCAGGAAGGTCCTTCGATCTCATTTTGTGCATGTCTTAGTTTCTAATCTACGGTGTTACGAAGGCCAGCCTCAAAGAAGGTGGCTTCATATCAGAGTAGACAGTCCACACGGATGACCACACGGATGAGAAGACGACGTCTTCCTCCATGTCTGGCTCTTCAGCTGGACCTTATGTGAGCATTGATTAACTCCACTAGGGTTGTGAAACAGGAGCGAGCTAGTAGACTGTGGGAAGGGCGCAGCATTCCTTGTGTCGCACTTTCTCCAACCAATGTGTCTCCGATGCACAATCTGCGGTAAGTTGAAGCGTTCATATGATGAAAGACCTATTGCAGCCTACGTTTAATGATTGTTCTAATGGACGGACGGACGAGGATGTAGATCTCCGTACATTGACGTTACAAGAGTTTCGAATGTAGTTTATGTTGGGCATATTGACAACCAATCCATCATTATTTTGTAGCTATTTCCTATGCATATCTTGACAACCAGGGCTAAATACTTGACGCTATTTTTACAAGCTGAATCTGCGGGATCTGCCTGATGTAACAGAAGAGGGCATGGAGACAAAGGTGCAGGATACACTTAGATATATATGAAACTAAAAACAACGTCTTATATAGAGTAGGTTTTGTTCCTTATTTTACCCTTGATCCGGATCAAGAAAGTACTGGTAGAGAAGAGCAGGCATCCTTTTTGTCATGCTAGAGGAAGACGGAAATGAGAACTTCTCTGTTCATTTTGCAGGCCACAGCCATCTACAGCCCGGACCTGCACAGCAGGTGCTGCCGCTCAGCTGTTGCGGGAGTTGGGGATGAGGAAGGAACTTGCAGGATTCGGGCTGGATCAGTCAGCTGACATTTTAGATGATTCTTTGACCTGCTTGCAAGACGCACTCGTCTCGAGAAGGAAACGTGTTGGACGTACTACCCAGCGTTTTGGTCGAATACAATGTGATCCCGTTGTCAGTGTCGAGTCTGATGATCTGTGAAGTCCCAGTTCACAGGTCGCCTTGGGTGTATTCCCGCTCTTTCTCTCTCTATGAGCGGGAGTGAAAATGAGTACAGTGAACGCCATTGAACCTCCATAGCGAGGTGCATTACCCGGATTAGATTCATTCTTTCAGTATCTTCGGCACATGTTGCCGTAAGGAGTTGACATGTTAAGCATGGCACATTTCATGAGCATCGAGATGTGCTCCGTGCAGGAGAAATTTTCGATTTGAGAAATGTGGAATTAGTACACTAGAATGTGGTGTACCGGCGTATATTTTGATGTAGTATGTTTCTTGAGGTACTTAGCGGAAGCATTTATGGAGGTCGACAGTATACTTCAAAATTTGTCCAGCTTCTTCCACATTTATACAGAAAAGAATACTTGAACAACAAATGTTCTTTTCTTGTCAGATGATATTTTATTCCTCGAGCATTCGTTGTGACGTCAAGCTTGGTGGTGTACCACGTGAACATTACACTACCACATCTGAGTCACTCCCTGGTTTCAATCCTTAAAATGTTCTTTCATGCTTTGCAAGGAAATATGTTTCCGAGTTTGTCGATGTGTCAGTGAACGTAATGCGTGTCAAGTAAATTGTCAAACTGCAAAATATTGCTTGTTTCTGTTACGCAGAAAAGTTATATTGTGGATTGTTGTGCCTCTTACAGTGGATGTGAAGAAAGGGAAGAAGGCATATGGAGCAGAGATGTCATCAGTTCTTGAAACGGAAAACTTTAAAAACTTGTTTTGGTGCAATGTTGCCGCAATCTGTCAAAACAATGGACAATAGTACACAAAGACGCGGAGAAAATAACTGCTAAAATCTCAAAATATGTTTCGTAGGGTCAAAATTCAGACTCATCCCAGAGCCCTTTGGATTTATCTGACTAATACGTTGTACTTAATTACCTAGAACTGAAACATCTTCAACGGACTAACTTTTTTAAGATGGAATAAAAAAATTACACTGAAAATGCCCTTTTTAATCAAACTTTTCTGAATTTTTTAATAATTTCCTGCTGATATTACCAGATATGTTCATCAAAATTAGAAGAAAAAAGAAGAAGTAAATGCTTGAATAAACGACACATCATGTGAGGAGTGCAACGAGCTATTTGTTGACGGATGCTGAGATCCCCAGGGATGTCTAGCATTGTTTTCTTAAATCATGTATCCAGACAACCAATGACGGCTGCATTCAGTAGATTCTCCCGATATCTTTCCAGTATTGAGACAGTAAGAAACTATTTTCACTTGGATGAAGTGGACATAGTCTGATGACGTTTGTCTCAAATCGCCTTTACTTGTTCCATGTTGTGAGCTAGCTCAACTCAACATGTGTTTGGACAGACATGAAATAATGAGTGGGCATGCGAGCACAACACAAGACAACACGGGATTGAAGGCACACGCTGGTAAAAAGACCGCGTCAAAGCACCTCCAATCAATGTCAAAGCAGCATCAGCGAGGAACCAGAATGACGCCGCAGTTGGCTACACCTGGTTGCAGTGGCCATAGATACTATCTACAAACAGTCGAAGCAGTGACAACAACAACGATGTTTTTTTAACATTACATTTTTTGTACACGTTGATTATTTAAAGCATTGTTAAACAACAAAATTTTGCATTTCTAAAAATCTAAAAACTATTGAGAGGTCAGACTTTGCCGGACCGATTTGCAATTCGTCTGGATCATTACCTTATGGGCCGGGTGTATCCACCGTGTCCTGCAAGAGGCAATCATGCACTCAGGAACCAGAGATTGCTTGGGTGTACATCTCATAAAAATCACCTGGTTTTGTTTGACAATACCGCCACCTTCAATTTGAGAAGTAATTCAGAATGAAGCTGACATGGATAGTTGTGTGTTTCCTTTGACTCGGGACAAATGCAGACTTCTTGGCAATCAATCCCAACTTTGGCTTCTTGTTTAACAAGTCCTTAACGAGCGAAGTCACTCCGTGACTTCAAAAGGGGACAGAAAATGAGAACAGGTCTGTCTGGCCCTCAGTGGTAGATTCTCATTTGTCGAGGAGCAAGATGTGGTTTTATTGGGCCGATTGGCTAACGAGGACGCCTGTTAACTGGTAGGTATAAGCGATGCATGTCTCATAAATCGTTCATTGTCCTCCAATCTACTTGAGCTTGCTCGACAATGCCCAGTTCACTCTACAGGGGTGGGCATCAACTGGAAGATGTTCAATAAACGTGTCGAGACTAAAGATTATAATTTACAAGCACCATAAACTCATGACCAACCGATGTACAGAGCAGGCTAGAGCTATTGTATCTCATGAATGTATCACGAGCAGACAGCACATCACAAAACATGATTCTAAAATTGCGACCAGAGACATGAACATGCAACCTGAGTCACGAACGTTTTCACATTCCGCTAAAACTCTCCGCATACCGACTGACTATTATCCACTGAAAACCTCCATGAGGTCGGATTTCCTCATCATATTGCGCACGGACACTCCAGCCACAAGGTTCTTAATTCCTGGATAACAAGTACAAAAATTTGACAAACAGACCCGCAAGCTTCCACCCGAAGTTCGTTACAGTTTGGCACTGTGATCTAGACCATATTAACCTCGGCAATAAAATTCTAATTCCCTGTAATTCTCATTAGAAGTTCTAACAAAACGGACTCAAATGCTTCCAGTCCAAATTCATCACTAGCCTGCACAGTGGTAAAGACGGAATTACATTGGGTTCATGCTGGTGATGACCAGGTTTAAAAATTTTTCATTTCAAGACTACTCCGAGTTACATGTTCTACATATGCTTAATTAGCACATGGCCATGCAAAGACAAAGCTGCTCGGTGCACCGCAGATACCGTCCACATATTGTGCACATGGAACAGATGGAACAACCAACATATTCTGCCTGTGTCCAAAAAAGATCAAAGTAACGGACGAGAAACTCAATACAACTGAGGATCCACAGAAGGAAGGCAAAGAGTTACTTTACGGACTAAATAGATACACGGGAAAAACGAGATTTTACTTCACAACGGGAGAAATGGTGCCCACCTGGGAAATTTGAAAGAATTTCAGGAAATTGGGAGAATGGCATATCTTCAAGCCGTCTCATTCTGCGTCTCGCGACTTAAGTTATTTTTTAAGCTAGAACTAGGTGCAAGCAGCTTGGCAAACACATCATATTCAGTTGTCTGTTTGACAAATGAGCACCTTGACACCAGATAAGGTTGCATTATCCAAAGAATAACCGTAACAGAGTGGACCCAAGAATAGTAGCAGGCAACCAAATTCAAACGTGGGAGTCAACTAACTGCAAACGCAGAGCGTCTCACTGGGCAGGCCACTTTAATTCCCATGCCCGCACATCGATAGAAGAAATTGCGCCCATAATAAGAATCAAATCCCTTCCCTTCCCTGTTGCTAATCATAGATATGGGAAGCTTTTTCTAATAAAAACTTTGAATAATTTTGTACCTTGAGCTAAAAGGGCCGGGCGAATGCCTCATTTAACTTCTTCACATCTCCTTCATCTACAAGGCCAGAATGACTCCAGACTTTCAACTACTTGAAGCCTCCCTCTGTCCATAGTGCATCGCCATCATTCCAGTCGTTCCATCCATCTGCTTTCTTTTGAGCTTTGTTATTAGTAGTGCTGTTTGACACGCTAAAGAAAGTCTCATCCACATCATCTTTCGGATCATGATCATCCCAACCTGACCAATTGTCCCCTCCTGACTGAGCCTTGCTGGACTGCGTAGCGCTGGTGGTTGCATTGACATTATTTCTGGTCGGCTGAGATGTTTCAAAGGCGCTACTGCCAGTCGTGTTAGCTGATCTGCCACCGTTCTGAATCTTCCCTTGTCCTTCATTACTGTCGTCCCAATCATCCCAAGATTCACGACCCTTGCTGCTCACATTCTTCTCTGTTTCCCAATTGTCGTGCCATGTACTACCGGAATTTATCGACTGATAAGGACCATCATTGCTGTCACTGAGCAAGCCATTCTGGTCATAGGGTGAAAACGATGATCCCGATCGGCCTCCTTCCTTAGTATATTGCTCAACGGTTTGAGAGGCCATCGCCATAACACCCCTCATTAAACCCCACGCTTTTTGACCAACTTCCGTAGTCTTTGCAGCCACAACAGATACCGTCTCGTTCACTTTTTGATCGTATCCACCTTCTCGGACCTGACACAAAAAAAGGGAGACAAAAAAAGGGAGATAATCCGATAAGTGTAAGTGAAAACAGAGGCAGAAAGTTCAGACTCCACCAATACTTGGTGGAAATCCGTCCTCGGATTTTCAAGTTTAGAATAAACAAACAAAATATGCAAAATACTTTGAAAACAATCAAGGAGGTTAAAAACAAAAAAAACATAAGATTACCTTGGCTTGTAAGTCCTTGGTTCCTGCTTGCATGACAGAGGCTGCATTTTGCGCTGCGGATGCGGCAACCACTGACAGACGACTCAAACCCTAATACAAAGATGTACAGGCGAGGATCCGCAATTTCAGAAGCGAATACGGCGCAAAATGTTTCAATTGGAAACACCTCGATATACAATTCCGTAATTCAGACGGTTTTTCTGCGTTTATCACGACGACTACGTGACAATCTAATCAGCCAAGCTTTTGCACCGTGCTAAGGAAAAACAGCACACATATCATACCTGGGAGACGACAGAAACGGTGTCTTTAAGAACGTCTCCACCCATGGCAGGCGGCCTGCTTGCCGGGGGAGGCATACTTCCGCCAGAACCAAATCCAACGTATTTTCCACCCTGGGAGGGAGGAAGACCTTCCGGTCGCGAGGAATTCTCAGCTTGCTTCCTTGCGAAGAATGCATCCTTGTTAGCGGCAGAATTCTCCAACTGCGACCTTGTGTAAATGTCACCAGAAGAATGCGATCTTGGGGGTTGTCTTCCGCCACCACTCATTAAGGAATCTGCCGAGTGATTTCTTCTGACTGCATCGCTGCTCTCAGAGTCGGCGTCTACTCCCCAGTCATCCCAACCCCCTGTGGACTTGCCCTGATTGCCGTAACCTTCAGATCCGAATCCTTCCCTCCTTTGACCCGAACTTCTACCCCCACTGCCTCCCCCGGATGTGGGAGGTCGATTGAAGTCCTCTTTAACAACCGGAGGAGCTCTCCAGGGTCTGCCCTCAGCCGTGGCCTGGATCTTCTCCCTGTAGATTCCAGCAGCCTTCGTGTTGTACTTGGCAACAATATCCGTCTCCTTGGCAATACCGTACTGAGCCAGGAAGGAGTTCAGGGCAGCGTTGCCACCAGCTTCCATTTTCTTAAGCTGGATGTCGGACCAAGAATCCATGGTCACGGATCTCACGAAGCTGATGTGAACTCCCAGGCCACGATGCTTCCCCGAGCACTCCAGGCACATGAAAATTCCATACGAGACAGACGCCCACTGCGGATTCTTCTGTGAGCAATCTACGCACGTTTTGGCGTCGGGTCTCGATTGAAGCTCCCGCAATCTTGCGCCCGCCGCTGCCGAAGCCATCGGTGCTAGGCTCCTGGACGCTACGACAGGCGCGGGTACCCGAAGGACTGCAGACCGACCGACCGACCGACCTCCCGATCGATCGATCAATCAATTAATCGCCAAACCCAATGAAGCCAAGACTCCTCGCCCGCCAAATGCAGGGCAACTCTCCCCTCCCCTGCCCTGCCCTGCCCTTGCCTCGACCCTCACAGCACAGCACAGCACAGACCACCGGACGGTGCACTCACACCGACGATATAACATCAACTATCGAAGTATCATCAGAGTATCAATGCACTCTGGCACGCAATGGGGAGGAGGAACGGGCGCAAGAATGTAGGAAAAGGCGCAGCAAGCGGGCAGAATATCACCAACACAACAGTGCACTCTCTGCTCGCCGTTGTAGTTTTCGCCGCGACAATCCTCGCTCATGGTCCTCACCACCACCGCCACTCTCCGTTCGATCGACTCCCCGGGGGCGTCGCCCGCACTAGCCCCAAAGAAACCCCGTCGAAACAGAGCTCGATCGACACCCCACCACTTGCTCTACACCGACAGAATGGATCCCGATCGATCTACCTCGCCATCAAATTGCGCTCCTCGATCCCCAGCACTGCTCGCCTCATCATCGCCTTCCCGTCCCGTCCGTGTGCGAGCCCCGCGACTAGCTCGCACGACGAGACATCGCGAGCCAATGCACTCATTCATTCATTGGCCTCCTGCTCCGCTCCCAGGCCTAGGGTTGGCGCAACCTTTTCGCCACCCCCGACCCTGGCCCGTCCCCGCTGCCGGACATTCCATCGCCACTTCCAGTCCTCCCTCCACCTCCACCTCCACCACCGGCCGGACTCTCTCGGCCTCCCGCTTTTGGGGGCCTGACAAAATCCTGCCTCCCCCGGGAAGCAAGTGCCTTCGGCATCTTGAACCCGCGGTCGGTCGGTCGGTCGGTCGGTCAGAATCCTCCTCGGCCTTCAGGGCTCAGGCCCGGTCCTTCCTTCTTCTGGCGCGTACTTCTTCTCTACTCTCAGCTCAGCCTTGACTGGACTTACCGGCTGCCTCGGTGACACCAAGAGGTCCAAGTGGAGGATGCGAGCGAGTGAGTGACGTAACAGTTGACCAGATATACCTCCAATCCGATAGCGGCACGTGGCTGGCTCCGCTCGGAGACAATTTCACGAGACCTTTTCCCGACCGGACCGCACTCGAACGTAACAACCACTTCGCCTCGCTTCGCGGTGCTTGCTATTGTTTGCTTTCCCGTGGGACTTGTACTTGCTTCTCGAGGTCTGGGTGAGCTCCAGTTGTATTATTGCCACCTTTTCTGCTTTGCCTAAACCCTACTACGCCTCCACTTCCTTGGGTTTCCTTTAAGATTCAGTACATAGTCTACTCCGCGGACATACTTCTTTTCATATCTATGTTTGAATTCACTAATATGTTGATCGTATATCAAGGAAGATGGGAATTCCCTTGAACATATTGAAATTCGCAAAATGTCAAGTTTACTCGATAGAAATAATATTTAATATATTGCACAAATATATATATATATATATATATATATATATATCAATCAATCAATCATGTAATACAGCCGAAGAGGTTCCGCTAGAACTAGAAATTTTTCGCATTGAGCTAATTGAGCATTGTACGGTAGAGGAGGGGGCCAAAAGTTTGTAGATAGACAACCAGATACATCTTCTATAGCTAATGTTAAAATTTAATTCTATCGTCAATGTCACATATAGAGGATTACCTCGCACTGCCAAAATTATCCATAGTACAGATTAAATTCGGATACAATTATTTTCTCCTGATTCAATTTTCATCTGTTCAAGACAAATTTCGAAACAACCATCCATAAAATATTCTCTTCCAAATCATAAAGCAGTTGGATAATGTATAGTTCCACATGTTAAATAAATCAAAAAAGAGGTCAAAATCTAGTTTGGAATCGTTTAATTCAATATTACAACTTTATCTCCAAATTTTTTTAATCTCTTGCTCAACCTTACTTTATTTTTTTTCATGTTTCACAACAATGATTACTATTACCGTATACAATCAAACTTAGACTAAGAACAATAAAATTTAGTCGTACTTCAATCTATCCTCACTAATATTTTTACTCATGAGCATTACTAGTCCAAATAAGAAAACATAATCACAAACAAATGTGCAAAATCAAATAGCATTTTGGTATTATGAATAAAAAAACACTTATGATAATATTTCATCTCAAACTTTCAATAAGGAAATAGTAATTGACTTTCCAGCATTGGTAAATCTCTTCCTATCAATGATGTAAAATATGTATTTTGGATAAAATAAAATATAACTTTATTTTTATTATTTTTTCTCTTACTAATGTAATTTATTTATTTCAAACTTGCACTTCTAAAAAAATCTGCATGAATTTGAGATCTAATTTTTTAGTAACTATTTGTAAATATTTTCTTGATTACTTTTGCTTGGGTTTTACCACATTCGAGGAATTATTTCTTGTTTGCACAACTTGTTAAAATCTGAAAGAAAATGAATTCTCTATGACATTTTTGAAATTCTACAAAATTTTATACACCTTTAACTTTGATAAAACACTGTAATTTTTTGTTGAAAAATCTTGACTTCAAGTCCCACGTTGCTTGTAATTATCAATCCACTTCTTAAACAAAGACTAGAAATAATTTTTTTTGGAAAATCAACAATAAATTAGAATATGTGTACATTTAAAACTGATCACAAACAAGTTCAGTTCTACACTAGTGTGTAGGGCATCGATGCACCACGTTGTACAACTACCATAACTAAGATACGATAAATACTAATTGGACAAAACACCGCTTACCTCCAAGAACTCATATTTATTACCCACAAAAATTTAACCTAAATTTTCAGAAGAATGCTTTCCTGCTGTCCAAACGTCTACAATCACATTCCGCTCATAACCATATCCTGAAAGAAAGGTTGCAGTTGACCCAAAGTCACTAGCTACTTCCCACATCCACCAAGCCTCAACATTAAAAATTGTGCTTCAAGATCCTTAATTCAAAGCCTACACCAATACTTATTTACTTTCAAAACGTTTATGATTACGATATGAGAAAGAAAATTGCAGTGAAACAATTACAATCCTACCCCTGAACCCTAGATCTCCTAAGTGGAGCTAAAATGCTACTGTAATTAACTTCACAATCTAACTATGGATCCCACTAAATCATAAGACGTGAAATCACGTGAGTGAGTTCTACTTTTCACTTTCCTGGAAAGAGACTTAAAAGTAGAGCCAAGCAAGGGCATTCTATCTTTGCATCTGGCTAATCATATTGAGGCCATTAGCAGAGTGCAACTTGCACGCACATCACAATGTCATTTCGCAAAGCTTGAAGATAGTTCAATACGCAAGTCTAAAAAGAACATATTGTATTGGAGAGTTCTGACTAATTTCTTAAAAGCTAATTTACACCCTCCATGACATCCTTTCCAAATGACAAGAAGTCAGATGTATTCCTGTACCAATAGATGTTAAGGATCGAATCTCGGAGTAGAACCCTTGAGTTGCCCCGAACGAGGACAACTTTATGAATAAAACGTTAAAGTTCTCTGTAACCTTAATCAACTCCGCATTAAGTTCAGAAAAATTCGGACGTCAGCGTAGGGATGAACATGTCATGTCCATCGACGTGACGTGAGTACGATTTCCACAGGACGCAAATACCATCCATCACGTCCTAGTACAAGTAATAATTTAATGAGAACTAAGAACAGTTTGGAAAGCCGCCTATTCATAGAATTTCGGGCTACAGTTGAGTCTGATAAAATGCATCCAAACAACGATGCAGTTCGTGTGGTGTGGGGACGTGACGATTGAGGAGGTTATCAGAAAATGCTTCGGTCGTGCAGGAGGCCACTGTGCCCACCATATCGGGGCACTTACAGCCTTTGTCAACCCACAGAAGCGAAGAGACAATGAACTGTCTGACTATCGGTGCTACTCTTGTCTTTCGTCGTACTCATGTGTTGCAGTTAAAAGTAAATGAATAGGTCATTTGTAAGTGATAGGCCATCTGTATGTGGCCTTGGACTGTCCATCGTACTTGTAGCTTCATCTTATGCTGTTAGGAGTTGGATAAGATGCACAATAGAGTTACTGTGGCTCCACCTCCGTGTAGATTCAAGTTCCAAATTGAGTTTACAGTCTTTCCACCGACAAGGAAACCAGATTTCCGTAACTAGGAGAGAAGAACAACGAAATGCACCACTGAACTTCAGGCACTTTACATTTACTCAGCTGAGATCACATTGCCTTGCTCCGCAGTCGAACGGAGGTAAACTCATAACTCTATCATCTACCCATCAGGTTTGAAAACTATACCTAACCCTTAGTTGTGAGATCAGCACGAAAGGATTCCCTCTGATAGTTGAAGTTTTATAATTGGCAACTAAACTCTATGCATGGCACTGTTTGACATGCACCAATTGTACCCTTGCTCGTACTCATGTGGAAGAACTTACAAGTGCGATTCCTAATGCATTTACTTTACACCTAAAAGACAATTGAATCCAGAGTTCCCCTGTTGGCATGGCTAGTATCTTCACATCCCCTGGAGAACCTGGCTCTATCAAAACTGGTTCTATACTTGGGGACTTTCTGGAGTCCGATGTTCATCTACTTTACACCTATCTAAGATCCAGATTTCTCCGACTCCAGTAAGTTGACACCTCTATGGCAGCAGCCCCACCCCGTCTCCCCCAACTCCTGTCTCTACAAAATTGTTTCCGAGTATAGGATGCCTTATCAATATTGAGCTACTCGTAATACTGGATGGCTCAAACTTCGAAGTCGAAATATCGCATCAGCTTACCTGCAGCCTGCTGCAATAGCGAAACGGTACGAGGTAGAAATCTCGAGTATACAGGATGAATCCTACAAACTTCTCCATGCTCATCGGATCCAAAGAAGCTATAAATATCAGGGCGTTACGCTAGCGGCTGGCCTGATCACCCCTCTTCCATGAAGGATGGAAGGCGGAAGATATTCACCCCAGTCCGATGTAGAGGGAACAGCCTTCACATCTTGTCGGCTAAAAGATGTGCGCGCCAAGTGCTTGGTTTGAGAAACCTGGAACAAAGGTGATGGCAAGAGATTGTTGACCATTGATGTAGGTGCAGATTCAACTCTCTCGACCTCCATTTTCTCGAAGGAGGCCATATTCTCTACTTCTGTCAGCGATGGATCAGAGAGAAATCCACTCCTTAACTGCTGCCTCTGAACTGGAGGCAGAAGATCGACGCATGCTTCCTGAATCGCCACGAAAACGTCCCGTGTAAGTAAGAAAGTATATCTTGAAACAATATCTTTGACATAATATTTCTTCCAGTTATGCATGAAGAACATGTAATTCAGAGATATCGATTCCTCACTCCAGCAGTATCGACGTTTCTGAGTCAGCAGTTCATTCATACATGCAAGCAAGAATATGATGGCATTGCTTAGAAACGTCCGAAACTGTAATACTCACTACAATTCTTGTTCTGTGGGCACATGCGTTCTGAGAACGGATAACTTTTTCTTCATCAGGACAGCGAGCCATGAACTGCTGCTCCAGGTCGCACAACCTCCTGTGAACCAGGTAGGCTTCGATATATCGACAACGCTGCAAGAAGAGAGAATTGGTGAAACTCCAAGGTTTGAGGTGCTCTCAGTCATGAATCAGAACGTCTTAGTACAAATGCAATATCACAATTAACCATATGCCACAGACATTGCGCACACCAGCTTTAGAATGTACCAATAGATTATATTCCTTGTTGTGCAGAAAATCTATGCACGTCAAAACAATTAAGATAGGGCAAATGAAAAAATACAGAATGGGAAACCAGACCAAAGGTCAAACCTGAACGTAGAAGACGACAAGAAAATTCCCTGCCGTAGAAGAAGGATCTTGAACAGCTTGATCAAGAAGATACTTCTTCACCATCTTCTCTTCATCTCCCAACCAGGGCAGTTCTATCATCTCTTTCAAAAGACTCTTACGTATAGTAAACCAACAAATTTCTCCAACCAGCACTTCCATTTCCTGTGACCAGTTGCGCGATTCATATGTTTCACTATTATCTTGTTTCCGTGTCTTGCTTGTCCGCCTTCGTGCCTCTTCAGACTTGATCCTTGAGCAGTGTGCTCTTTGATAAAGATAACCTTCACTTAGAAGTCCACACTGAAGCCGCACCCTTACAGCAGTTATTGCTTCTGAAAGTGGAACAGCTACTGGCTGTTCTGACTTGTTCACTACCCCAAAGCGCCCATCTCGTCCACTGCTCCTCAAAACAGAGAGAGCGATATCTGCTTTCCCCCTTTCGAGCAACACGTGGGAAACTTTGGGATGAATATTTGGATTGACTATCTCTGGCAGCAGCCGTGAAGCCTCCTGCTCCAGATGTACAATCGGTGTTAAATTCCTCAAAAAACAACCGGCACGTTACATGTTGCCCAAACAAGGTTCCTGGACCAAAGTAATGATGTTTTGAAACCACTTATCAACAAGCAGTAACTATCATCGCCACCTGAATCATGACCAGCCAGTTTCATTTTCTACAGTCTACGAGCGCAACGATATGTAGCATATCGTCCAAACAAAGTTGTTAAGGAATCAATATACACGGAATATAGATGTAGAAAATCATATTCAAAAAAACATGCGCATCATCGTAGCAGACCGGTGAGCTCTACCTCTAGGGCAAGATCACTGTTGTCATCGAGAAGGTAAAAGAGAAGAGATTCCAGCATAAACGGCCTTGTGATACCGAAGGTGCCGACGTAGTCATCTACTATGCTTCTCCAGCTTGTGTCCGAGAGTGTCCAATGCCGATCGAAGAGGTAGTACAAAAACTGTTGAGGTGTTAAGTAACAACAAGATATACAACTTAAAACCACTCATTGCACAAAACTACTAATCCTCTGTTGACTAGCGTCAGGAAGTTCGACAAATAGAAGCTCTATACGCATGCAATATTTACTAAACTTCTTTACTTTAAAAGGATACTATTGCCTTCTTTGCGAGAATGAGATCGGAACTCCCTTCTAAAAATAGCAGATCTACTGCAGCACGGACATTGTCTGGAGGGTAGATCATGGAGGGGCCGCTAGTCAAAGGGTGTCCTCCACTGTCTCGCCGATGTCGAAGAGGAGGAGAAGAAGGTAAACTTGATTGTTTCAGTCTTCCTAAATCAAGAACGTCTCTCCCACCCTCTTCTTCCTCATCCCTTCCAATGCCCAGATTCCCAATTGCGTCCTCAATGAAGAGAGTGGCAGGAGACGTAGGCCCTGTCTGTCCAATACTCCGGGGATACTCTGACCACGATCTTTGAACAGCTGCAGACTTCCTGTCCCTCACGGCAGTCCTCCACAGCCCAATATTCGCAAATCTCGAGGACAGACTATCCAAGAAACGATGTCTCGTAAACCAGGCCATCACCTCCAAATGCTGCCAAGGAAAAGACAACCTTGCTAAGCACCTTTGCAGACTCTCGGGATGTATGACTAGCAACTCAAAGATTGTGGGAAACTGTCTTCCACTCGGTATGGAGTGAATAAACAGTCTCAGAAGAAAACTCGTAGCTTTTCAATACTGTTGGATAACATGCTCATAACATGTCCGGCAGGGAACTGATAGGCAGATGCCAGGGCAGATCATCTAAACGAGGAGTTTATCAGGGACTGAATACCTGTGAAGCTTTGCGGACACCTTCCAGCATATTTCGAACTTCCACCAAGGATGGAGTTGAAGGATCTATAATGGGTGACTCCAGAGCTTCGAGAACATGCTCTACTCCCTCCAACTTCCTCAAACTTTTGAACATGAAATCAACTTTGTTTTGCATCTGCTTGGGCCCTAAAGTGTCTGTGACAGCTAAGTTAGGGAATTCACAGTGCTTCTAGATCATCAAATTGCCAAGCTGCAATTCTCTCGATACAGGAAAGCAACAAGAACGAGTTTACAAACGACCAAAATAGCCTACGACTGAAAAGATAAGCACAATAACCAAGGTTCTCCCTACCTGAGCTACAGCTTGGGCAACGTGATGAAAGTCATCAATTTCAAAAGAATCAAGTCTTCTAATAACTTTTACAGAGCTTCTCATTTATCAACAGGTTTCTGAGACACTGACAATGTAATTGAACAATAAACGAACGAGTAAACTGAGACAGGCGTACTCGAACTGCAAGAAGGTTCTTGGGTGTTCACTGGGACAAAAGAGCTGCGCGAGATCAATGTAGGTGCATAACTGAACTTCAGAAAATGCTGAGAGGATACAAATGTCTCGTAAACTGCTTATGATGTTGAGAGCTGTTCTTTTACACCAATCCTTGACAACGTCCCCGTCAAGCAACATGGAAATGAGGGCATCACTTGATACTGCACCTTCGTCCATACACACCTCCGACACATCTGTATATCCAAGTTAAGAACTTTGCGCATGTTGTATACGAATTTACTCTAAGAGGCACGAAGAATCGAACACGTGAAAAATAAGGGTTGAGTACTGGACCCAAATTCGGAACAACGCTGCTGCTCAAAAAAAGCTGTATCCCAATCATGGACAACATATCATGAGAAAGGAGGAATAAAACAACTACTTTAGCATAATCTTCTACTTTATATCAGCAGAAGTTGAAGTATGGATACAGTGGCACACTAGTGACACCAAGTTATTATCAAGAGCGACGTCGAAGAAGCTGCATAATCTACGGACATCGAGGGTCAAAAACTGGCCGTCCTTCTCTCTTTCTCTGTAGTCTTCATCCCGAGCCTGTGGAACTAATCCAGCTTCAACGAGTTCATCGTAAAGTCGAAGGCGAAGAGCCGACTCAGGTTTAGTGACTGGTGTCCGGCAAATCGGACACACGTCACAACGTTGGCTACACTCTGCACACAAGCAAGCATGGCCGCAAGATACCAGTAGGTGCTGAACTGTCCGTCCACAGCTCCGAAGGTCTCGAGTGGCACGACAATACTCTACTTTGGCTTCCACACATAAGTCTCTTGGCTCCACACTGACCAAGTGCTCCAGCGCTTCCTACACAACGATTCTACCTTCAGTGAACAGACCAAAGCGTTTGGCAATTTCTGAGAAATCGGCCAAAAACCAAAAGCAAACAACGGCTACGACGCTCTTAAATGATTATTTTCCTTAAACCCTTCGCTTGTGTTTCGAACTCACAGAGTGAAATACCAACATATATGAAAAGATTTTGGGACATGTAATTTAAGGCGACCGGAACAGAGAAGAAAGGGCACAATAGAAAGAGTGAAAGGTCTCGGCATTACGTAGTTATAAAAATTATGAGAGAACTTCTGAATTGCTTTTCTCGCAGAATTGAGCGAGTTCCGGATTCCAAAGGTCAAAATTCAGGCGGACGGTCTAGGTCTGATGGTACAGCAGAAAACTAGCAACCAGGTACTGAATGAAGGCTATAAAGGCAGACATACACTTACTAGATCCGATTTCACTGGAAAGAAATCCTTCAAGTTCGGCCCCATGGAATCGCCCTTGGCTCTCCTCTCCCCTCCCTCCTCTGCGTGCTGCTGCTGCGTCGCCACGGCTGAATGCTGGCGCCACTGCCACCACCCACAGCAAAGAAGGGAGCACAAAACCTCTGAGGCAAAACCCTGACAATCCCGTCAAAATCACCCAGTAACGCAATACGCTACGTGATCATCGCTTCGTGGGCTAAAATGGACGAAAGCGAGACCCAAAATTTGAAACGCGGAAAAAGTATTGCCGCTGAGATCGTGAAACTGGCGCACTAATGAAACGACATCAACTAAAGCCCGGCGCAGGTTCATCGACAAAAGCTAAAGAAAGCGAAGGCTACTGCCTGCACAGAAAAAACGTCAGTTCACGCTAATACTGGACAGTGCAACGCCTCGTGCAGACCATCACCACGTGGTACAGAGTTCGCTGTCTTACGTAGTTCATCTTTTGACGCGGTTTCAGCTGATCTTCGATTCCTGCCTTATGTTGGCTAGCTCCCGTTTCCCATATACAGTACGGTATACTCTACTGCAGTGAGTTGCAACTGGTTGAGCTCCGACGACGTCTGGTCCTGGCTGCGATTTGGAATGTCTCCCTTGCACCGTTCTGGAAGAATTGTAGTTTTTTTCCAAAACATATGATCAAATACATTTCATACGTTGTAGAAGGGCGAAGTTGCCAGAACAAAAGTTTTCACAGTTTTATAACAGAGAATGGCTACCCAGCTGTAGGAATTTTCATTCTAATTTCAATATCTTCTCAAATTTAGCATTATCATTTTTTTAATTGTTATGTACAAGCGACTGAGCTCATACAATTCTTATTGGGGTAAAATTTATTTCTTGCATAAATATATATTATAATAAGATTTCTATGTGAAAATTCAATTTTAATTATTATTTTCATACATGCCATAACATTGTTATTCAATCTTCTATACATTACAATTGGTTATAATTAGCCGATATTAGATTTTTTGTAAATATTCCAATTTAGATCAAACTTCTTAATTTTCAATTTATCTTATTTGTAAATTATAGTTATCAATATGTTGCAATTGGACAAATCACTCGCTTTAAAAAAAAAATTATAAGTCAAATAAAAATATCTATGATTAATAATTATCATAATCTTGAATTGAAATTTCCAATTTTTTCATTTACTTGGTTATTTATGGAAACTTAAAATAAATAATCAAAATCATAATCACAATCGGATTGCAATGACATTTGCATCAATAGTCAGTTATTTCATAATTTTAATTTTAAATATGTTACAAATAATTAAGATAATCATATTTTCATTTATGAAACTAAAAAAATTGCATATATATATATATATGTATTTCCTGATTTTTCAATTATTTTGAATATTTATCATCATGAAAGAACTAAACTCTAAATAAATATGTGTACAAAAATAATCTATTTACTTGTTTAAAAAAAAATATTGCATCAATTGATTCAATTTAACTAAATTTTTTTATAGATGAAAGAAATATTTATTTTATTGAAATATTTAGAAATAAAAAATGTAATCATTTTGAATTCAAAATTTTGAAACATGATTAATATATTTAAATTTATAATTATCAATTTATAATTATAATTATGTAAATAAAATAACTACAATAAGCTAGATACAAAACGTATATGGCTACATAGTTTTTGAAACTAAAACACAAAATTAAACAACAAAATTTAGATTCATCATATAGAAGAAAAAATTTATTTATTTAATGATAAAAAATTTATCACATAAGAATAATAAACATTTTATATATTATGTTGTATATCAAATTAACTTGCGCCTGAAATACGTTTTTGAAAAATAAAAGTGAGTGGAATTGTGAGGTGGTGTATAAAATAGTTTATAATCATGTACATCATAATGTGTGTTGATTGCTAAAATCGACAAGATTGAGTTTCAGTATAAATAAGTTACTTGGTCTACTCAATTGCAAATGATGATGGAGTGACGAAGTGGAAGGGTGGTGATGTTCAAACTAATTTATAATCACCGAGGGACCTCTGCCTCTTCCGACAAGCGCATCTTGTACTCAATGACCGAGAGTATTTGTTTTGTTGTTTTAAAGAAATAGTTTATGCTTGTCTTGCCTCACATGCCACTGTTTAACTGAGTAAAAATTTAGAAAATTAAAATGTGTCATGTTGATAGAATATCTATTATGAATATAATTCAAATATTATTAAAATAATAATTTTATTTAAAAATTGATTAAATTTAAAATATATTCAAATTATTTTAGAATTCATATTTTATTTAGAGTAATAATAAATATATAATCTATCAATACATTTCTTGTGATATTAAGATGTTTTTCATGGTTTTTGTCAATGCAATTTATTATTAAAATGAAATATCAAAAGTTTAAATTTTGATCTCCTTATTATGTAACAACAATATCAAATATTCTTAACTTTAAATATTTATTAATCTCATAGTTATTTTTGAATTTTATATATAGTTTCATAGAATTTTCAAAATCAATAATTTAGATGAATTTAATAATCTAAAAATACAAATAAAACATCTAGTAAAAACATTGAAAAAAAATTTAATAAAAAATTATTCATTCACATGTGATTCTATGATGCAGTGGATACATTAAAGCAAGACGCAATTATTCTTTATAATTAATTGTTATCTAACAAAGACTTCAAAATTTATGTTTTCACTTGCTCTGATGAGATTATAGTAACCACAATTGAACAAGGACTAAGGCAGTAAAATGATTCAACATTTGAAATCAAGACTTTAGGAACTTGTAATAGTATTTTAATATACTCATATATTGTTTTTATTTTATTGCTTTTGATTTCACACACATCTTTTTTAATCTTTTGAATCGTGAACCCGACCCAAAATAAACAAAGATATTATTCCTTTAAAAAAAATTCCATACTCTCTAAGGTTAATTAAGTTTTTGGTCAATGTGTCGTACAACACACACATCAAACATTAGATTAGAAGGGCAAACAAAGCAGCAGAATTAAATCATGGGTACTCGACAAGTCAAAGACTATTATCCGCCGAGGTGAGTAACCATGACAACAACATCGGCATAAAGAGATATAGAATGGCTTCGATTCACATGGACAACTAATCCAGTAAGGGCCTAGGGGGTGGGAGAAGTGGTATGGATATGGCAACGTCTAGCCGGTGCGATCATGGCGAGGATCGGATGACCGGATACAACCTAGTCAGAGAGGGGAGAATCCGACGTGGGGATCAGGGATTGGTTAGGATTCGGGCAGCATCTAGTATCAAATTAACTTCCAAGTATTCTAAACTTGGGTACTGCAATTGTATGATGGAATGAGAACGGCAATTCAATAGGATATTCGTATGACGAGTACTTCTGCGAAGTTGACAAAACAAATTCAGTGTAGAGGGTTGCTACATCGCGTTCGAGTGCAAGACCAGTAGATTTCTCGGCGGATTTGACGGCAGTGAGCATCATCTCGAAGCACGTGTTTTACAAGGTTTTACAATTAAATTAACCAGATTGAATTTACAACTTCATTGAGTTAATTTTCTGAGTCACAAGAATAAAAAGAAAATACTATCCATGAAAATAGTGACCCATAAAGAATAAGGGTGCGGGTTTTGGTTGATACGAAGGACAACTTAGCGTCCCGCGAGACAAAGTGAACACACCCGACTTAGTTAAATGATGTTAAAATTTCTTGGTTGTATATATTGTATCAAATAAAAAATAATGAATATATTGTGAAATTCAAATTTTAACAATAGTTTGTACATCCATTTTTTAATTAAATTCAAATATAATTGATAAATCTCATTATAAAAATAAATTTATATATTTAATATAGAAATATATAAAAAATTAATCAATATAACAAACACACATGCATACATTGGTTTATTAATTTTTATAATATGCACCAAAATATTTTTTTAATTTAAAATTCATTTGAATTTATGATCTAGAGTAACATCTAATTTAACTTTAACTAACTAAAGATTATTATATAATAATATTGATTTAATTTTTTTTAGTTAAAAAAATTTTAGATTTTCAAAAACATGTACAATTGTTTTAAATTTGTGTGCTTATGAATCTATTTTAAAAAATCTATGAAGTAGTTTTTTTTTCAATTTTTTGAGTTTAAATTTATAGCTTACAAAAATTGAGCAAAATAATTTAAAATCTGAAATTCAATTTGCCAATGTATTGATCTCGTGTATTGTGATATATTTGGCATAAAATCGAGCAACTTAAAATTTTAATTTATACTTTTAATTTAAATATTTTTTTGAATATAAAATTTATTATAGCTGTTAATAAATATTTTTAAGACCAATAAATTTATAATTAAATTATAATAGTTATTAAAAAATATTAAATAAAAAATTATATTTGAAAAAAATAATCTATGATTGATGATGAATCTGTGATAATAATATGTTGTGCACATTATGTTTGATTGGATTATTAGGGATGTTAAAAACATGACAAAAAATGTGATTTGAAGTTGCAAATTTTTTTTAATATAAATAAATAAAAATATAAAAACTTTTATTTAGCACAAAACATCATTTAAAAATAAAAAAAAAGTAATGCAATCATAAAAAAATTTCCATCATTATAAAATAAATAATTAAAATTAAAATAATTAAAATTAAAATAATTAAAATTTTATAATATTTATGACTACAAAATTTTGCAAAACCAAAAACCTAAATATATGATTTTTATTTGAGTTATAGTAGCTTCAAAACTCAGAAAGAAAGTTACCAAAAACATTTTAGGGTAGTATGAGGAGGCTTAGTACATGTTACATTGGTGAAAGTAAACTGCAAGTTAGGTTATGTTTTGTTGTAGTTGTGTCAAACAAAAGTAAAGAAAATTGAAGATGAAATGTATTAGCATAAAATGTTTACTTTGATGTACATGATCATGAAGAAAAATGTGGAGTTTACAAATTTATAGATTTACAAATGTTGAAATCACTGGAAAAATTACCGTATGTGAATGTAAACTAAGAATGTGGTTATGTTTTGTTACATGTGTGTCAAACAACGATTGAAAAAAACTGGAAATATGATTATGATTTGTTGGAGTTCTATAAAACAAAGATAGAGAAAAGTGAAAATGAAATGTTGCGAAGAAAAATGTGGAATTCAGAGGAAGCATTAGTACTTTATGGATGTGATGCAAAGATTGTACACCATCATTATATATTATTTTAGATTGAAAAGTTAAACATAACACGTGGTTTGATAATAATATAAGTTTATTGCTAATTTAATATTGTAAAACCTATATTTAATGAGATTGCATTGTAATATTGTATAATTTGAAAAAATCAAAAAAATCAATATTTGTAAATTATTTCATTATAATAAATTATGTTAATTTTTTTATAATAAATTTATTTTTAAACCAATGATATCATAAAAATATATATAAGTAATCTTATATGCATGAATAAAAATTATAATTGAAGTATACACTAAATTAATTGATGATGCGTACTAACATGAATATTGATCAATATTTAAATAAATTGTTGAAAATTCAACTGAAATTTGTTTGATTAAATTAGGCTGTCGTTGTATACTTAAAGTGAAATTGCATATGAATGTAAGTTGTATAGTTCAATTATATTTTTATTATAAAATAAATATGATATAATCATATATTTTATTATGAATTGGCATTAATAATAAATTTCTTTTCATTATATGCAAAAAAATCTTGATGGATGCAACTTTGATTGTAAAATTTTGTAATCAATTTGCAATCAATGCTAAAAAATATTTTATTTATATTCATGTAAACTATAGTTTATTTTATTTAAATTTGTAATTTTTTATTATATTTTTGTTTAATAATATGATCATATGCTTGTAAATAATTAGATAAGACACTTTCCTTTTAAAAATTACATCAAAATTAGTATATGTAAAAATTTCATATCATGTTATAAGTCATTTAACGTATATACATGTTTAATTAATATTATTTATTTTGGTTTTAAGTAACATCATTATTGTTTTTTTAATAGAACATGATATTAATTAATGAAATATAACTATTATGTTATGATTAATTGAAAATAATTGAATACTTTTATATATTTATGAAAATTTATGAAAAATTACAAGTAATATAGTGTATATAATGTGTACGTAAAAATAATAATTACTATTTTATACAAATAACAGACTTTTGAAAATATCATCTTTTGCTATAGAATTTATTATATAACAAAAGATGTATTACTATTATAAAAGATTATTGTGCTTTATCTATTTTCGCTCGTAAATGTGATAACGAGCTTTTTGTAAAATACTAAATTTTGATTGAAAAGTTTTAATTTATTATTTAATTAACTATACTCAATCATACAAAACTTACATATTTACAATTATACTACAATCTTAATTCTTAAATGTTCTTTGACGATACGATCTAAATGTTAATTACTTCAAAAAGTAATTTTACTCTTGTTTATATCAAGAGTACTATCGTTGAATGTAGGCATTTCACATGTATATAATAGTAAATCGAAATTTGAAATTTGAAAATATAGAAAAAGTACTTATTACCGTGAATGGTTTCAAATCTTGAAACTCGATGATATTTAAAATTGAACGTTTAAACAGAAATTTCGAGGCGTAGTGAATACATAAAATCGAAAAGTTTTTAATTATAGTTTAAACAATTAGCTGTTAAATTTGTTGGCTACAGTTGGCTCACTTCGCGGCGTAGAGAATATTTAAAATCGAAAAGTACTTAAATATAGTTCAAACAATTGGCTGTGATATTCGTTGGCTACAGTTGGCTCACTTTAGAGCAAATCACACCTGAAGTAGGTGTGATTTGCGCTAAAGGTCGATCTTCAGGTGTTTAGCTTCTCTGTCTAAAACAAAAGAATGGATTTGAGATTATTGGACACGGCACGTCATAGTTAGAAACCTGATTTCCGCTTCAGTAAGATGAAGAGAGTTCTAAAGTCATTTCACATCAAATTCATTCCAACTTTCAGAATGATCGAGAAGTTAAAGTCACTTGAACACTTTATTACCAGATATATCCCAAATTGGGAACAAAGGAGTAACACCATTAGTAACCTCGGGAGGTGCAGGAACAATTGCTCTGTGTAAAACACACTCCGAGCCTACCATTGTCGTGCAATAACAAGTTGAAAACGCTATTCGGTCCAAGACGAAGCAAGAGTTATAAAATTGCTCGGCGACTCGTGTCGTGCTGCAGGTGACATTAACCTTCGATACAAACCTCAATTACGACATGCTGGCGCTGCAAGGTGATTTGAACATACATTCTCCAACCACCAGAATAAGACTTTAGTCTTCATGGCGTACGTACCAAACCTCCCGCTGCAGCGTCAACGGATTCTAAAGCGGGCAACAGAGGAGGAGGAGTACAGTATTGACGTTTCCTCTGAAATTGAAGTTGGCTGGAAGCGAGCTACGTGCAAGAAGTAGGGAGAACGAATGCTACCGTCGAATCGCGAACTGGCTAACCCGCTCACTACTGACAGACCTGTTCACTGGCCCTTGGCGAAAACCTCCTGATTGAAAACCTTGCCGAGTCCACCAATACTCTTGAACGCAATTTTAGCCGGTTGAGATTGAGGAATAGAGATGTCATGGATCGGAGCCCACAGGATCATCTCTTTCGCCTTCACGCCGTGCAGATCCCGCAGGCGATTCTTCTCGAGATATCCCTTGATTTCAGTGCCGTACTTCACCTGCTTGTTGGCAAGCTTAAAGACGTGGTTTATCTCCTCTTCCTGCGTGATCCACACGTACCCGGTCTCCTTCACGTGCCCGCTCTCAATTACATTCTTCAGCGGCAGAAGCCCGCCGGGAAGGCCGACCTCCTCCAAGAGCTTGATGGCGCACTCGAGGGCGTCGTTTCCCTTGCGAATAACAGCACCTTCCCTCTCAGCCATCGTCACCCGGCACCGTTCCTCGCAAAGTGAAATCAACTTCGAGCTTCTAATCAGCTGGCGACGCAGACGCTGCGCGCACGAAGCAACAGCGGCGACGACTCTCTGGACGCCTAGAGCGCGCTCGGCCTCGAGCAGCGCCCGAGCAGAAGAGACGCGCTGCGACACGAGCACCGGTGCTGGCGCCCGCGGCCTAGAGCGGCAAAGCTCGGGCCTCGGTGAATGCTTGCTTGCAGAACGAGCGGCAGAACGTCGCGCAGTCAAACAGTGTCTAGTGAGACCAGGAAACTGTTTCCTTATAGGAACGAGACGAAGTCCTCCCGGTCTGCGCTTGTCGGAATGGGGCAGTGATTGACCTCATACAACGGAGCCGATTATAAATATTTCGGACACCACTCCCTGCCCCCCTCAGTCACCCCACCACCTGCAAAATAGCACCCCGAGTTACTTACACTCTCGTATATTTTAGCAATCAGCATCTCTCTCCCTGAGTTGTCTCTAGTCGTACAGATTCGTACTTTTCGATTCATCCAGACTCCAGAGCGGGCGATAGTTGGGGGGTACGCTCGGTGCAACGACACTCCGCACTCTGATTCCGGTGGTGGTGCTGGCGATGTCGATAGCGACGACACGGGCCAGATCAAGGAGCGAAGGCGGTTATGGTCCAAGGGAGACTGACTTCACTCGATTTGACTTTACTCTGACACCTGTCTGCCCGCAGCGATGTTATGAGGATGAAGATCCCGATGAAAAAGAAACCGCTGCATACGAAAAGAACGCACCTCTAGACTGTCAGTGAACTGACTGGTCCTCATGGCGACCTAACTCTTGAATCCGTGGCATCTCCCGACACGTGGGTGCATTCTCACGGCTCGATTCCGGCCGCGGCGATTTTCCTTTAATGCTCTTCGTTCTAGGCCTAAGGCCCATCGTTGGGGCCTCTTAAATTAGCGGCGTGCCGAGTGATATCATCCCATTCAACGTACCGCCTCCACTGACCCTGGGCCCCACCGTAGCTCGAACAAGCTTCTCTGTAATTGGCCCATGAGGGCAATTTGGTATCGCGAATCTCGGACGACCGTATTTTTGCTCGCGAGGAATGGAGTTCCTTCTTATGACGTTGAGCACATTATCCGGAATTTTCTGGAAGTACAGTATGGGTCTCCTCGGTTGTGTTTTCTCCATCAGATTTGGAAGCACGAGGAAAGACTAATTATATTACACAATCTCTGACTTATTTCATACGTACACATATTAAATACATAGTGTGTTAATTATTGCTTAATACATGGTGATAATGCAAACCTAAAGCATATGCAGAAATTTTTCAATCTTTCTTTCTTGTCCAGACGAATGGCGACACTCTATCACGCACATGCGATAGTGTCACGTGAATAAGAGCAATCTTGGTATACAGTAAGAGAAAGTTTATCATGTCAAAGCTTGCACACGCGTAGACATAATGTATTTAATTTTACATGGAACACAATGGGGATGCAACTATTTACGGTTGAAATCTTGTCAATGACTCGAGAAATAAAGATTTCATCATGATTTTCTTTAATGGAGTTTATGAAAACTTTAGCGAAGTAGTTGAAAAATGATCCTAATCCAGAATATGAACCATTTAAAAAATACCTACTAAACCAATAACAAGGATACCAGCTACAGTACCGATTAGCCACAAAGGAACCATTTTGGACTGATAGTATATTTAAAATATAAGTAAGAAACGATTTATATAATTTCCAGAGTAACCCGAATACTAATATATTCTACAAGTTCAACCTAGATAATACATGGCATGGTGATACATGAATTGCAGCAGTAAGCACTGTATTCAAGTGCTTCTGACATTCGGTGAAGGCCATGTGTAGCTGGTTGTTATACATTGCGTCTGTAGAAAATGTACGAAAGTGCTGTGTAGGGATGAACTCCTGGATGAACTTGAGTCAATCATTTTGATAAAGGCCGTGGAGTGAGAGAAGTGATAGGGTTGTAAAATTCAACACATTTCAATATATAGTTCTATCAGGGAGTTTCCTCACATGGAGCTGTAGCAGTTGTCCATGTTGAAAAGCGTGTCCTGCGCAGTAACATTTTATAACAAATCTTCAATTCACTGCTGCAGGGGACTTCTAGTCTTTGCCGAACTAACTCCGTTACTAGCCGAACTCTAGGCCTCGGCATCCTATATTTTGCATAACTTGCGTCCCCTGAAAGTCTGGGGCCTTTTGCATGTGATTCAAGATTTCCCTGGCAGTATTTTGAACCGGCCAGTCATTCACTAGGTTGTCGATCGTCCCACCGGCAAAATATGCAGCTATACTTAAGCTGTGCTTCCTGATAGCCGAAAACGGCCCGTTTCCCGCCCTCTTTTCTAGCTGGGTAGCGCAAAATTATCGCTTAAGCCATTGACAGAATGGCGGTAAAACATGAAAAATTTGTTTTTTCGCTGCGCAACGAGAAAACAAAAAAGGGAATGCACCTCCATATAACGCTTATAGAACCGCACTTATGAACTGAGTATTTAATGGCATTTAACCATTCCAGCAAATAGCGGCATTATTCAATTTGGGATTGTATTCATATAGCGGCATTATTCAAATTCGGATTGCTCTCAAATGCGGCCATCCTGTGGTTATTTTTTGACCGAAGAACCAAAAAAGAAACATAGACGCTGATAGAATTCGAGAACGTTCTCGAAGATGTCTGCAGCTAAAAGGAGAGAACGGTGATGTGAAGGTATCAAATCGCGAACACGGTTACGATTCTTCTTTATGTACGTACTAAATGATCGCGAATGAGAGGGTACTGAACCCTTAACGTTCTGGTAAGTTCTGTAACGAAGAGAACGACGTCGGTTCGAAGCGGACAAAGTCCGTTGGTCCTCTGACACGGCAGAACCTGAGACAAAACGATCCACCCGATCAGCAGCATCTGCAGGTTCCCACCGTTCCAGATTTGGATTTAAAATTTGCTTCGTGTGACATCGTAACAAATCTCAATGTATATCCTCTGACGTCTCCTTCGGCTTATAACGGCGCATGTAATGTTGTAACGCTATGAATTCGGGCAAGTTCTAGCTTGTGAGTTAAGCTCATTCTGATGCATTTGGGACTTGCTATCTTTTTCGCTCGGCGACACCAAAGAGAAGGTGGCTATAATTATAGTTGCAAAGAGTCAATATTTCGCATCCTTTATTTATTTGGTCCCCCCACCATTTGCTGAGGATGTGTGTTTGTAATCATGTGTGAATGAGTGTTCTTCATATCTAGATAATATTAGTGTGCTTGTAGTGAACCAGAGTTTTGAGATTATCAGTTAACTATCTCAAACATGGTGGATATAATGGGACTCAATTTCAAATGTAATATTTAAGCCATAATTATCACTTTCTTTAAGTTATTGTGTTGCATGTTTTTGTTGCTCAATACAGATTATTAGCTAATGCTATACATGTGAGAGCAATCATGTTAGTTGATGCTACGTAAGATCTTTGTAAAGGTCATAAATGGTTTGATTTTGATAGTCCGTATATTTTGGATTGAGCTTAAGCTGTTGTTTTCCCCTTATATTGTTTTGAATTTGAGAAGGATTAAGCTCATATCCTTTACTTTCTCATATATTTCAACAATCACATATTCCAACCCATCATATGTGCTTGTTGAAATTACTCTTACTTTGCAAATTTAAGAGCAATTTCTCACAATCTATGCTTTATTTTCCGAAAACTTAACATATAACAGCAATGATATTGTAAGGGTTAATTCAATCTTAGAATTTTGATCTCGTGTAAAAATTATAGCTATCGATTTTAGCTATTGATTTTATGTTAAGTAATTTATGCATTCTGTAATTTAACACGATTCATGCCTCAAAGGAGAAGATTAAGCTGACTGAACAATACTCGCAAAATGTTATGTTTGCAATATTTCATCGCATTCCACATCTGAAAAGTATTTGGAACACTTTCGAGGAGGTGTTGATTTGGAAGTGCGGGGGCGCATGGGAAGTAGCAAGAAGCCGGTGGATGACTTCCACTTACAATAGAGAACCTCGAAGCCGTCTAACCCCGGCCGATCACTGACATGATTCCAGCGCGTGGGGCGGGTGAGCAAACCTGAAATTGTCTTACGACTTCTCTTCCGGGGGTGGTCTTACACAGCACAAGCGAAGTATCTTCGAGTTGCACGTCTCGAAAAGTGCTCGTTCTCAGGTGAGAAGATTACCTCCAGTTGTTGCCAAAAGTGAAGTCTCTGTCTGCTCATAGAATTTGATCTCTTCTTGGGCGTGCCGACGTCCAAAGCAGTCGGTAGCTCGTGATGTTTGGCGTTGAAAGTTGACCTGACACATTGACGAGCTCGTTGCTCACCGCTCATCTTTGTGTCTCGGTCTACGGGTGGAATCCGGACGCAAAAGCCGAAAAATCCGCATGCATCTCGTCATCTCAGTTTCTGATGACTAGCCATGGAGATCTGGACTCTTCTTCTACTCGCTCAAGAAACATACAAGAAACTATTCTTCGTGGAATACTCAGCAGTATCGTATTACCGCACTACGCTGTATCCCACACCGTCTGGCCTGAAGGACACTACCTGACTCCATCGACTGTTCGAGATTTCTCAGAAGTGGAAGAGCAGGCAGGCATTTAAGCGTATCATGCACAGGACTCGGGAGGCCAAAATTCCTTGTCCTATTTTACAGCGAGCTTGGTTTAGTTCTGCATATTTTTTTGGCATCGGTGAGTTTCATTCGTTCGATCACATCATAAAGAGAGCTGAAAGATGGCTTCAAATGCTTTACCCAATGCTAGGGCTGGGTTCCCGGCGCTTGACGCGGACGGACCTCGAAGATTATAAAGTGGAATTGGTGTGCATGCCAATAACATACCCACCAACTCAGAGTTCGTAGGATGGATGTGGGTCACTCCTGAAGATTGCAACAGTCTTCTTTATCATGAGTCCAAGATGCCGGCGATTTCACGTCTCCTGCCTAGAGTTCCATCTCTTCACTGTACTCTGTGGACCATTTGCACCGGATTACCGCCCGGCAAGCCATCAGACATACGCATGCACCACGGTAGATCTGCCTCTTGATGTAGGTCAGGCCATCTTGATGACAGATCTAGATCGACAGCACGAAGGAAGTTCGAAACTGCAGAGAGTGGATATTGACCACCGGTGGATGAGTGCACATGGGCCAACAAGGCCGAAACCTCAATGTCCAGAGCTAGACTCTTCTTTTACATCAAGCGTCGAGTTTTCCGTGCTGGATAGATGCTTCCAGACTTCTAGGCTTTAGGCACATGAGGCAACTCTGGATGTTCCTCGGTGCACAAGGCCGGGGTTTTCCATGCTCTTCTCATGAATGTAGACTCACACGCATACACAGCAATGATGTCCAATAAATACGAATCCCCATACTCGTACCGCGCTTTCGTTCACTGCAAGATTTCATGTGTCCCGCGGTACTCCATGACCCCTAGTCATGCAAATGGCGAACAGCTTTACAATCGCATCATTCTGTGACAACCCGAAGACTGGATATGACATGCAGGAGGTCCTCCATTCTGGCGCTCCGAGTCGGGCCAAAGAAAGAGCTGCCTCTGCTGAGCAGGATCATGCGCTTGGAGATTTGGACCTGTGGAGGTTTTCTCTCCTTCACTTTGGCAGAACGTCCCGTACGAGGTGACAAATCACCTGCACCGCCAATGCCTCCATCGACCCTTGACAGACATTCGGATTGGCTTGTACTCCTTGGATTGGCATAGTCATAACCTACTCCTGAGTAAATGTACAACTTCGAGGTTGGCTTATTCGAGGCACTCAAGCCGCTGTTGCCAGTAATTGTACAGTTGAGGTTATCAAGGTCATAGGCCTCGTAGAATTCTCAATCGTAATGATGGAGGATCAAAAATATGTATGGAAAGTACATAAATCTTTCATTTATTTTATGTCCCTTAACAGACCTCATTTAATTATACATGGTAGTGTGCGTGTGCAGCGTTGGCTCGAGCCGAGTCCGATCCACGCTCTGAGCTCAAACAGTGCAGGGTAAAGGGCGCATGCTGAGCTGTGTAGTGAAACTGAAGACCTGGGGTGTCCCATATTGTCCCATATGCACAATGAGCTCATGCTATCCGAAGGGATGATACTCTAGGTTCTTCTTGGCCTCGGCCAAAAGCTGCCACGAATAGACGAATAGTAGGAGATATATGAAACCTCCGCAACTGTTGGTCTGCTTTTCGAACAAGAATCTAATGTACTTGTTTATATGGTAGGAATCTAAGTCTGCTACCCCAAGGTATAGTTGTCTTTTCGCTATGTGGAGCCTGTGTGATCAAAAGAGGACCCACTTTTATCGACGATGACTACTCGATCTGATCACATTCCTCCATTTTCCACTCGATTGAGCTCTATGCTAGAGTAACACCGGGACCAGACTCACTCTTCGTCCAACGGTTCGCTTGTCTCTTTTATTGCAGCGTGAGCGGTACCAGATCATCATTCTATCTATGCCTTCCAACCGTGATCGATGCAATGAGTTCTTCCAGTCAGTGCACTCAACCCATCTCGGGATCCCAGTCCATTTGTTCAGATTTCTCAGAAATTTTTAACTTCCACGCATGATCAGACCTACCATCTTCGACTGCCTAGTTGCTGGCAAGGGAAAGTGAACTCCAGACACTTATCACTAGGCATATGCTGGATGGGACAGTGAGGTCAGCTACTGCAACTCATGAAGTTTTTCTATGTGCACGAAACTACCATCGAAATTCCCACACTTGAAATAATATTGAATTATTACCTTGGTGAAGTTCATCCAGGTAAAACTTACAAGATCTAAATTTAATGAAAAATTTATTATATTTCTATTCACATCTTACAAAATTTAATTTGAATCTGGATACACATATATTTTAGGTTTGGTATTTTTTGAAAAAACTATGCATTTCAATTTTGAACACAATTTTATGCACTGTTAATCAAATATGAAAACAAAAAAATATGGTTATGTTTCATCAAGACTCTAAAGTATGAAAGGTTAAGGTCAATATATTTAAAAATTGGAAACAATACTTTTGAACGTTGAGGGACATTTTTATAATGTTCATGTACGATGTTTTCTTTTTCACGCTGCTAGAATTGAAATATCAATTCATTGTACACAAATTAGAATTTAAAAAAATCCTCAAACCTTAAAATATCTTTTTGGGGAAAAATTATCTTAATTTATAACTATAATACGTGATGAAAGCAAGTGATAAATGCTGAGATAAATGCTGTCTTTGGATTCAAGCACATGAGCTCTGTCGCATCGACTCGCAATTCATCTTCTTTGTGAATAAACGCTGCAAGCAAAAAGCTCACGTGCACTTCCACAGCTTAAGAGCTGCGTATTTTCCTTTCAATAATTTGGACGCTATGAGTTCATCTTCGACTTCTCTCTCAGTCAAATTATTTGCTGGCTTCAGCGTGTAATTGATTGTTTTCTCTATCAAAGCCAGAGCAATCGTCGGAATTATCTTCAGAACTGAGATCAAGAGTACCACCTGCTGGTCTACTGACAAATTTCCGGGGAGGCCATGTGATCTCCAAGCTCTTCCATGCTCATACAGCTATCTGAAACGGTATGACCTTCCGAGATGAAATTTAACATGATCAAAACATTGTTGCTATTGATCTGTAATGCCACCGGCTCTTAGACCAATTATTAAACCCTAAAAGTCAACTTTATAGACACATTGGTATAGTGTACATACCTGGTTCGCCACTACAGGCTAAGTACACGGGATTATAAAAGATTTACTCAGAAAAATCATGAAGAGTCAACGTGAACTCTCCTAAGCTTTCTTATACAGTGAAAGTTTAACCATCTTCTATAATATTGCTTCATTAGAGTTAAAGTTACCTGAGTTCACTCCTAACGTTTATATAAAATTTAGATTTAAATTCACAAAAAAACCTGATTAGTTATTCCTAATTATATTTCATAGAAATTTATGCCTTTGTAGAGTATTTTCAATGTTTTTTATACACATACTAATTAATACTTTTGAAACTATGAAATCCAGCATCAAAATCTTTTTAATAATATTTGACAAAAACAGAATGCTCATAAAACTCTAAGCCTTTGTTCCTTAACTAGATAACAGATTTATCAAGTAAGAACAAGTACCTAATTCTCTTCTGTAGCATCATAGAATATCAAATATTAAGCATTTTAAATGAGTATATAATAGAATTGATTTCACAATAAAATATATGTAACATGATATTATATTTATGCTTAGATCTTTAATAATACATTTTCCTATTTCTATTTAGAATTTTCACTAAGATCTTCTTAATATAAGAGTCTAAAATAGTTGTCAATAATACTAAAATGATCTTTTTTCATAATGATTAAATCAGTTCATACAAAAAAGATAGAATTTTTTCAAATGTATAAAAAATAAACATGAAATAACATTCACACATCATCAAGATTATTGATAAGTTGCCTTAAAAATCATACTTTTTGTTTCATAGTCCATAATAAATCAACACATACTGAAAATTCAAGACATATTGGTTAGAAAAATATAATTTGTTTTGATGTTCATGCAATTTTACTCTATGAAAGTTATTGATGAATTGCAGAATTTATACTTTTCTCTTCATAATTTATCATTGATCAATTCATAATTTTAAAATTAAATTCTTGAGATATATATGCTAAAACAAATCTTTTGTGTGAATGTTAATGCATTCTTACTTCAGATGTATATACTTGTCACATTTTCAACACATAATAGCTTTTTTGAGATGGATTTAGAGATCATCAAATATAATTAGATCTTGGAAGAAGATCAGACGTTTGACTTTTTTGTTATGCACTAGTAGATATTTTTGGCCGGAGACTCATGTCTGACCTTAACTGATATGGTCGCAAAATCGTCTTATCTTAAAAAATTTAGAATGCTCAAATCAAACCAAAGATTTTAAATACATTAGCATCAAATAACGCAGAAAAATTTATAACAATATTTAAAAGTCTATCCATAATTTTTTTTTGTTGATATTATTTTGCATGAAAATCATCAAGTGACATATAAAATAATAAGTATGTAACATTTGACATGATTGTTTTTTGTTATAAGCCATCTATCAACAAAATATTTACAATTAATGATTTTGTTATACAATGAAACAACATAGATGAAAATGATTAACACAAAGTAATCAATCAATTCAAGAAATGAAATATAATTTTTAAAAGTTTTTTAAAATTTTAAAGTTCATTAAAATTATCTCTTAGATCACCATAGCTTTCATTTTGAAGCTTGTCAATCTCAAAAAAATATACAACCTATTTGACAAGTTTTTGCAAAGAAATCCATCATCATCAATGTTTGTGAATATGAATATTTAGAGTTTTTGAATTGTACGTCTTCTTGAATTATACATATTAAAAATAAAAAAAAGACTCATGACATTCAACAACTTCATTTTAAACAACAATAAATTATTTGGCATGCATTTTGAGTTTGCATTGTAAATATCAACATGATATAACAATATGATATTTTGTCTAACTCATTGTAACACTAGAATTTAAAGAGAAGTTCATTTGATGAAGAAAACATAAACTCTAAAGATGAAAAATCCCAACGACGATTCTACTCTTCTTTATATAATTCTTACCAACAAGTACAAGGAGATAATATCTCATCTCTATCATTCAATTCACTCTTAGTGGATTGATGACATGGCGGATATACCTAATGAGTACACGAGATTGCTAATATGTCGCTCTCAACTAACACACCAACTAGCACACTCAATCTTTACCTAACAAGCACACAGATTGATGACGTGTTGTTCCAACTAACACACTAACCACCATACTGAACTAGCACACAGATTGCTGACGTGGCACAATAGATTTATCACTATTATATATTCTAATGGATCTTGAATAACATTTATTTTAGTTCTAACTAACTAAATATGGTTACAAATCTTTCTCCTTTTAAGATGCAATTTCCCCGTTGCACATACCTTCATACTATTTAACTATCAAAGGTGCATTTGCTAATAGTTCAGCTGGTTTCCAAGTCGATTTATATGATGTATAGACTTTCCATTGTATTAAAAACTATTTTTAAGAATATTTTTGATCTCAAAAAGGTATATTGGGTATCTTTTCTACCTCAAAATACTCATGATCTGCTATCAAGGTTGAAAGAGGATGTAATTTTGGTTGGTTGATGAATTGTTTTGATCATGGTACATGTTTTTGTAATCATGACACATGAAATATCCGATGTATTTTCATATGTGATGTAAGTTTCAACTTGTAGTACATTTCACCAACACGTTCCAAAACTAAAAAATGTATCAATGTACATAAGAATCAACTTTGATGTTATTACAAGAGACAAATTTGTTGTAGATAATCAAACATGATCTCATACTTCAAAAACTAACTCTCTACAAAGAACATCTACATGTTGTTTTTGCCAATTTTCAACTATCAACAACTTCTCATTGGCTTGATGCAGTCCTATGTGAATATACTCCACAAACTCGTTGACTGTTGCAACTTTGGTCAAAAACTCTTCTACTTTCGGAAGTCGCATCAAACTTGAAAGAGTTATAATATGAAAACTATATATGAGATAAAATGAAGACAATCTTGTGAATGAATTAACAAAATTTTTATATACAAATTCAACAAGAGACAAAGGGGTAAACCACTCTTCTTGCTCTCTAATGTGAATGCTCGTGACATATACTCTATGGTTTTATTTGCCCTCTCTGTTTGTCCATCAGTTTGAGTGTGATAGGCAGTTGACATTGCTAGTTTTGTTTTGAAAAAAACTAAATAAAATTTTCCAAAATAAATTAGTGAAGTGAGTATCTCCATCCGTGATTAGCACTTTGCTTCAGCCATGATTCACAAACACTACATCTAGATATAATTGAGCTAGTTGTGGAATTGATACTTTTTTTATGGTTGATCTTATGTGAATCATCTTAGTCAATTTGTCCACAAAAACCATCACCAAATCATATCCTAACTTAATTTTTGATAGCTCACATATGAAATCCATGGTTACATGTTCTCATCGTTGTTCGGAAATAGAAAAAGGCAGTAATTGTCGAGTTGGTTCTTGATTACTTGCCTTGTTCTGTTGACAAACAACACAACTTCAAACATAAGACTCCACATTTTCACGTATTTTGGATCAATAGTACACTCTTTGTATGCTCTTTACGAGTTTCTCCATTTTCACATGACCTACAATGGCCATGTCATGATTTTCAGTAAAAATCATTGTGCGCAATTTTCAATCTTGTGAAATCCATATGCGCAGTTTGTAGAAAGTCAAACCTTGAGACTTCTCCGCCTTTCCAGTTTGTAGTGCTCGAGTGATCTCTTCATACTACTTTGTGGCTTGTGTCATCTTGCTCCTTCAATGAGTCTGAATTTTCAGTTCTGCAACATGATTCAGACAAGATTCATGAGTGTAAAATCATCCGCAAGTTGGTTCTTGCCATCCACATACACAATTTTCATGTTGAAATGTTAACGTCATTGTAATAACCCACTAAAGGCTAAAACTGCAATATAGTGGTAGAAAGGTCAAACCCACAGGGACAGAGGAACACACAAGGTACAAAGTGTCACGTTTAACAGACTATTGAGGAGTTTGAATTCTCAGGCGACTGTCACTCCCAGAAATACTGCAAGTGTCCACTCGGAGCGCACTCGGAGGTCGCACAGTGCAGCG